TTTGTGTCATCAGATGCATCATTTTGCCCCAATAGCACACTGCTAGGCCACGTGGCTGGGCACCCATGGGGTGGGGACTTCTAACCTCATTAATATGCATAACTATTATAACTCAAGCACTGTTGTAGTTAGGATGATGGATCCTGTGTTATTATGACAACGTTGAACAAGAGATTTGATTAAAATAACAGATGACCATATATGGTCATGTGAACTCATTAATATGCATAACCATATATCTTAAACACTGTTGCATTTAGGAAGATGAATCCTGTGTTATTATGACAACAGTGAACAAGAGATTTGATTAAAAATAACAGATGACCATATATGGTCATGTGAACTCATTAATATGCAAAGCAGTCATATCTAAAACACTGTCGCAGAGCAGAACATGTAACTAGTGTCATTATGAAGACATTGAATGATAGATGTAACTGACATTAGAAATGGCTATATATGATTATGTAATCTCATTATTGTGCATAAGAACATGGCTCATTATATATCCTGAAAACCATATTTCGATAACCAAACCAGGTAAATACATGGTACCAACTTCATTTCGACCTCATGTTACTGATAATTCAAGCTACCTGATTGTCTAACATGTGACCACATTAATTATGAAACAGAATCTTGTCAGCTTGGGCCCCGGTGACGCCGCTTGCGGCTTTAATTTAGTGCTTGTTTTTATTTGAAACTCCTGTCAGAATATACTTTCTGTTACAAAGAAAATTAAAAAAATAAATGCATATTACACTAAAAATACTGAGTATTTTTTTTTTTCATGTGAACAGTCTTTTTGTGACGTGACGCTTATCACTCTTCCCTGACATCTAAATTGGAGTTACCCTTATATTCAAACAAGCAGCCTCTCGGCTGAGATAGCTCCACTGTTAGCAATGCACATTTCAATTAAAGAACAGAAGATATCATTAGAAAATGAACAATATGCATAGTATCAATGCAATGGGACTTGCTGTTTTCAACAAGAATTCAAAAATATCATTTTTAACCATAAATGATTGTGGTTTTTAACAAGAAGAAAATAACACTTTTTACCAAAAATGACAAAAATATTCACCAAAATTAGAGAATTAAAGATATCATTACAAAATGAACAAATCTGAGAGAGGTCCACATGTCGTACCTATATATGTAATATCAAAGCAATTGGACTTGCGGTTTTTAACAAGAAGTTGAAAATATCACTTTTTACCAAAAATGACAAAAATATTCATTACAAGCAGCCTGTCAGCTGAGATAGCTCCGCTGTTAGCAATGCACATGGCAATTAAAGAACAGAAGATATCATTAGAAAATGAACAAATCTGAGAGAGGTCCACATGTAGTACCTATATGTATAATATATCAAAGCAATTGGATTTGC